TGATCACCCCCATTCTGTGGCCACCCCCATCCTGTGGTCACCCTCATGTTGTGGTCACCCCCAATCTATGGTCACCCCCATCCTGTGGTCACCCCCACAACACTGTGATCACCCCCAACCTATGGTTGCCCCCATCCTGTGGTCACCCTCATGCTGTGATCACCCCAATCCCGTGGCCACCCCCATCCTGTGGTTACCTCCAATCTATGTCACCTCCATGCTGTGGTCACCCCATGACGCTCTGATCACCCCCATCCTGTGATCACCCCCAGCCTGTGGTCACCCCACGATGCTGTGGTCACCCCCAACCTATGGGCACCCCTATTCTCTCATCACCCCCATCCTGTGATCACCCCCATGATGCTGTGATCATCCCCATCCTGTGGTCACCCCCATGCTGTGGCCACCCCAATCCTGTGACCATCCCCATGCTGTGATCACCCCCAACCTGTGATCACCCCCGGCCTGTGATCACCCCCAGTCTGTGATCACCCCCATGCTGTGATCACCCCCAACCTGTGGTCACCCCCCTACTGTGATCACCCCCATGATGCTGTGATCATCCCCATCCTGTGATCATCCTCATCCTGTGATCATCCCCATCCTGTGATCATCCTCATCCTGTGATCACCCCCATGCTGTGGCCACCCAATCCTGTGATCATCCCCATCCTGTGATCATCCCCATCCTGTGATCATCCCCATCCTGTGATCATCCTCATCCTGTGATCACCCCCATGCTATGGTCACCCCCATGCTGTGATCACCTCCAACCTGTGATCACCCCCATCCTGTGGTCACCCCAATCTTGTGACCATCCCCATCATGTGGTCACCCACGTGCTGTGGTCACCCCAATCCTGTGACCATCCCCATGCTGTGATCACCCCCATGCTGTGATCACCCCCATGCTGTGGCCACCCCAATCCTGTGACCATCCCCATCCTGTGGTCACCCCCATGCTGTGGCCACCCCCATGCTGTGGTCACCCCCAACCTATGGTCACTCCAATGCTGTGGTCACCCCAATTCTGTGGTCACCCCCATCCTGTGGTCACCCCCATCCTGTGATCACCCCCATCCTGTGATCACCCCCATCCTGTGCTCACCCCACCACGACTCCCACCACACCACACCACCACACCACGGGGGCCACACCCCGCACCCCCCCAGACAACCACCACGCCCCGGGGCCGCTCACCGACGTCGGTGAGGGCGTGCTGCAGCTCCAGCGTGAAGGCGGCCGTGGGCACCTCCTCGCACACCGGCAGCACCGCCACCGTCGACAGGTTGCTGGTGGGGTTGATGGGCTCCGAGCTGGAGGCCACGCCCAGGCC